AATGTCAAACGCAAAATTACAGTAGACCAGCTATTTTTTTAAATTCTGGGCAAATTGGTATTATTTTCGTAACCTAGCAACGGATATAATTTGTTAATCACACCCTGAGGTGCCCTTCTGGGATTGGTGGATTTAAGAGTCTAATAACTTTCTTATGCAAGCAAAAATTACTTCTTCGGCTGCACTTTTTGGCGACCTATTGCCCCCGGCATTTGACATTTTTCTCTGGGGCGCGAGTTCTGGCGCACCCTGTATATCATAAAATCTCCTTAGATTAGGTTTGGGGTTACGTCAGTAATTTTCACAAAAGTCTATAGTGTATACAGGGTGTGTCAGAACTCCAGCCCCAGAAAAAAAATTAAAGTAACATAAGATACCCGAAACATGAAAAGAATGTTTAAAAGATTCTATCTGTCAAAAAAAATTTGTGATTCATTTTTTGACATTTGTCATTTTATTACGTCTATTTAATGATACTGATGATCTTGTATACATTTTTTTATAATTGTTTAGTAAAAGTACAAAAATTTTGCGAATAAAAGCCATAAATAACATTAAACAGAGATACAATTCAGGCTACAGCTTCCTTGTTTCCTCTTCTAATAGACTGTAACAAAAAAAACTTGGAAAATTCTTTTTCCAACAGAAATAAATAGTCAAAGAGTAGAATTTAAACTCTGGTATTTGGTATCTTACCTTACATTTCTCTTTGGGACGCGAGTTCTGGCGCAGCCTGTATACGCAAATTTTATACAAAAAAGACAACAAATAAAGGAAAATGGGAGTTTATTTAATGGGTAACATAAACAGTTTATTGACATTTTACATTGCCAATCTAATAACATCAAATGACTAGTGGTGGTTCATACCAACATGTCAGCACTTTGACAATTGTTAAAAGAATTTTAGATATGTCTTCTTTCATAAACACCTTGTAGTTGCACCAATAAGGCTCGCTTTCTGGAAACTCATTTAACGGAGAGATAAATTTAAACCTCGGTTAAACCATGGTAACACCAATCAGATCAGCGCTACCTTAGCAACAATAGAACAAGAATTTTAACTGAGATTTAATCGTAACARAAATCGGGCCTTAAAAATGAAATTCAGTATTGCCAACTCAAACAGTCATTCTTGATCATCCGGTAGGTAATGATTTAATTTTTTAATCTAAACCCAATCTAGGAGATATCATCTCATTAAGTTTTTTATTACATATGAGAGCATTTTCCGGACAGCTGTTTTGTTGTTAATCAGTGAATCTTCTAAACGATTGCTGTAATTAAATTCTCGAGATTTTTGTACAACTACCGCTTATTTACCGTTTGTTTTTGTCCGTTTTTAATTATGTTGCTTGTAGAATTTTTAATTGGAAAACTTACCTTCATATGAACAAAGAAACGTTAACGCTCCAGATTTGCATTATCCACCTCAATCGGGATTTATTTGTTTTAAAAAAATTAATGCCGGCCTCGTGTTT